GCTGAACTGGTTCATTCAAGCTTCACATTTAGCTTCTTTTCACACACAGACTAGGCACGTCTTTGCCTAGGATATCGAAGGCCTCAGCTAAGCTGTCACTCTTTCGATCAAGGGTCACCCCATTCAGTTGGATGCTCCTTATTTTATCATAAGCCCCAAAACAAAAGAATGGGTGAATGGAAGCTACCAGGAAAGGCAGAAGATCAGGAGATGGAGCCAAGAAAACAGGATTCCAGGGGGAGCGATGTCAAGGCAAGGGAGAGAGGGGCAGAAGCTCTCGAGCACACTGCAGACCAACTCACGTCTCTCACAAACATACTTGCCACCTTCTCAGTAAGAGAATAAATCCACTGTCGTAATGTTGAGTCCCCCATGAGGTAAATCATTTTCCTCTTCAGGCATGCATGGATTTTATCCAGAGTGCTAAAATTGGACACGGAGCAAAATTGTGGGTACCAAGCATTGTGCAAGGCGTAGCCGCTGGGGATGGGCGAGCCCATCCCAATTCTGCATTTTTCTCTCGCCATCCTGGCACTTCCTAACAAAAACAAATGAGGAATATTTGCAGGTGAATGTGGGGGAGAGAGCCAAACTCCTCATGCCTCGATTCTCTTGGGGGAAAGTTAAACCATTTCAGGCCAGAGTTCAATGCCCTGGTTGTGGAATAGCAGCTCTTTACCTTTTTCGTTCCTATCCCAGTTGTTGGACTGGTGGATCTCAATATGTTTTATCTCAGAATTTTAGGTGTATGTAGAATAAATGTGTCTGACACTCTACAAAGTAGATGATTTTTGCTCTTACAATCTAGAGCTTATAATCTAAAATTGGATGTATAGTGAGTAACAGAGACAAGGGCAAAGAGATTAAACATAGATTTAATTACAGCCAAAGAGTTAACTCTAACCCTGACTGTATTTTTGGAATATGTAAGATTCTTGAAACTGTCTTGGTTAGGGGGAAGTTTACAACTCAAAGTAAGTTATTCAATATTTCATTCCCAGATTGGTAAAAGTTTTAACAGTGTGAAGTGTCAATTAAATTTAGACTCTTTGGGCATAATAGCCTGCCTATCCTTCCACAAAGATGATTGGACTATACAGATCAAATACTACAGGCCCTATAATGTCTTCTGTAGTGTGCAAAAAAAGTGGATCTTGGAACAGAATTTTAGCCAGGATTCAAAGACATGATGTGTTTTTATGTGTTATCCCACTAATATACACATTTTGATGTATTATTTTCCCAGTATACAACATATACTATTTGGGAATGTTATTGAAATAACAGCTGATACTTGGGTCTAGGTCTGGAAATTGAGTTAGGAACATTTTTGCATCAACATGTTACCTGAACAAGTTCCTCTGCCACCCTGAAATATCACTCCTTCTTTACCTTTTCAATTTTAAGAGGGAAACAAAAATCCACAAGTTGGGGAAAGGAAGAGCTTGTGGCACAGTTCTTCAGGTCCAAGAGAAGAACAGGGGAAATACTTCAATCACAAAGTATTTTGCAGACAAGATGGATTAGAAAGTTATCATTAAAAAGAGCACTTAAAGTAAAAGAAAGTGTAACTTATTTCATTATTCCATAAAGTTAATGAATATTTTGTCTAGCCTTCTGATCTGGTGTCAGCCCTTGGAGATAACTATCAATATGAGAAGCATTATACACCATGGTTAAATGAATGAACACCATAAGCTCATGGTTCAGCTGGATCTCTCTCTCTTGGCTTATTATAAATCTTCCAGTCAGGAATTTCTCCAAGTCCCTCCATGTCAGAGATTGAATATGGTACATTGATTATAGAAAAAAGAAGAAAGAGAAGGGAGGGAGGAAGGAAGGGAGGAAGGGAGGAAACAAACACAATGGGCTTGAAAAAAAAATAGCTATATGCATTTCCAGCAAACCTGATGAAGAAATACTATTGCTGATGTACGCAAACAGTATCAAATGGCAACATGAAATCAACTTGTAATGTTAAAAAAAAATAGAGACAACTTACTATTGCAAGATAAGACCTGGATTTCTCCAAACCTCTGAGGGATTTCTACTCCAATCTTGTCCCTTAAAAACAGGGAAAGCAGCACTGATCATGCACAAAATGACTGTCTTGGCCAATAAAGAGATGGGGCTGATAAGAAGTCTCGCTGAGGATGAAAATCTGCAATGGGCTGCACCGTGGGTCAGGAAAAAAAATATTTTAATTTTGCTTACATTTATATCTAATTAAATCTCTCCAGTCATGCATTTAAACTTTCCTTCTTCTGCCTTTCACTCTAATAATTACAATTTGATCATAACTTTTGGCATACTTGGGAGTTGCACCCGAGTTCTGGGCCTCAGGTTCTGTGCCTCTGCCTTGCAAAATCTGGGTTGATCCACTTACTGTGAAAATCTGCCACTCAGATCTGTTTTATTGGCAGGATCAGGATGAATAAAAGGGCCCAGCAACTCTTTATTTAATAACATTGCCTTAAAACTGCCGACAAAATTGCTAATATCTCATTCTCAATACCATCCTTGAGACTTTTAAAATGATATGATAACGATTAAAAAATGATGGATTACACTGCTAAAGTCAGTTGGATCATTTCAAGTCTCTAGGCAGAAAGGCCCTTATCGTCCCACCTCCCCCCACAAAAGAACTAAATATAACTCGATTGATTGAACATTTAAAACTCATTGCAACTGATTAATTCTCGCCCACACACTCTAAACTGCGGTCTTCATTTGAAACATCTCAAGAACGTCTTTACTGCAAGGAAATACAGTATTTATACGGTGTGATTCTTGCAGTTCAAACAGAACATTTGGAAATTTTGCTGTTGGCAGGACAGCATCTTTCTTTAACTGATTAATTTGGAAGGTGCGAACTGATTGCTGCTTGCTCTGGGGAAGGTGAGACAACAGGGACAGGTGTTCAAGTGAATATTGAATGAGACTCTCTTTACCTGATTGAACAAATATACCTGCAGCTAGCTTTAGCAAATAGGAGAAAAATCCACAGGGTTGTTTTTGGCTGTTTTTTTTCCTCCTCCTTCTTTGGTTTGCCTGCTGTCAGTCTTCAGATACATTCACCTAATGATGTGCCTGCCAGAGCTGCAAAGACACCCAAATAGTTCATGGAGAAGATGAACTATCAGGTCTTCTTCGCTGCAGGTCACTGACAGGTAGATTCAGATAATGATGGGAAAGCTGTTGAAATGATACAACCAAGCGGGAATTCTTGACTCATTCCACATTTTCAAGGAGTTCCAGGAAATGCTTTCTTCTAACTATTCCGGTGTAATGGGGCAAAACATTCATTCTGTTGCTCACTGCATAGCTATTGCTCCTGATGGCAATTATGGAAAGAAAGCAATGCCCATCCTTCAGAAGGTGATGCCATCGCTCCCCCTTGTGGGCAGAAAGGAGGAGGCTGGCTGGGACCCTGGTTGCCTGGGAAGATGGCACTGAGGCCTTAGTGCTATAGTGATGCTCTTCAGGACCTGCTTGATGTGGACTAGAAGAATCTGAGAAGAGAGGCTGATCTCGGCCAGGTCAAAAGGGCATGTGGGGCACTTTACGTGGAAGCAGTTTATGTTGGCTGGGCATTGTGGGGGTTGTAGTCCCAATGTCTTAGGAGGCACCTTGTTGAATAAAGCTGGTTTACAGTCAAGGTATACAGTGTTTTGGCCAGCATATTGTAAAAGCAATTATGAAATAAACAGTGAGAATCTCCCTAGAACCCACTCACGTTTTAGGAAAAGTAAGCCCGTGGGTGTAGTGGTGAAGGTGACGCAAGGCCCAGGTTCAGCTACAGACGTTCATGGGGTGATTTGGGGCCATGGCCCTCTCTCAGCCCAACCTGCTTGATGGAGTGTTTTGATAACTATAAATGGAAGGAGGAATAGTATGTAAACATGCTGAGCTCCTGGTGGAAAGTCTGGATATGAATCTAACAAATAAATAAAATGCATATAACATATAAATAAATATAGTGCAGGGACAAAGAAAATGCTAAATTGTTAGGAATATGTTGCTTTCTGTGTATCCACTAACTGCTAGTGCCTCAAGACATAATTTAATAACGATCTTGCTGAAAATCTGGTGAAGAGTACATATGTAAAAATGAAATAAATAGAACTGAAGATGTAGTTGTAGGATGTAAGAATTAATTAAAGCTGTAAGAGAAGGTTATGCAGAAAGTTATAGTATATGCTATTTTGTTTCGACTTATTTTGTTTTACACTTCATTTTAGTAGACAGATCTTTCCTATATTGATTGACTATGGAGTGTATCTATGTCTATGTTTTAATTTAAGCTTGATTGTAATACAAAATTCAGTGGAAAAGGGGAAAAATACATGAAAGAGACTTTTCAGTTGCCTCTATTGATTTATGAGGAATACCTTAAATAACAGTCAATATCTTGACTGTTAAAGTAATATTCACCCACAGGACAAACAGTATAATTGCACTTCCTGATAATTTTCCTTATGGCTGTTTGATCTAATCTCCCGAGTCCAGAAATAGCTTATTGCCTGAACAACAACAAACAAGAACATTGTTAAAACAGGGCCATAAAGCAAGACTTCTGGTTGCCATCACAGTTGGGTGAGACAACCAACAGATGTCAGAACATACGAGCATAGAGCTCCGATAGACCTTCCCTAATTTAAAACCGGAGCTTTTGTTCACACAGTTATACTTTCTTCTGCTGCTGTCCTGCATTTCTTGAGGGAAGCGCACAACGCTTTCAGGTTGAGACGTAACACTGTCCCCCCCCACACCCTCAAGGTAAGACTAAAGAATACCAACTAGTTCATTTCACCCGATACAATTTTGGACTTCAATATAGGAATATTGGTCTCAATGTCATAGCTTTTGCAAGGAATTTGCACAATTTGAATATTTACATCAGTGATGCTCAGATGGCTCAGTTAGACTAACAAAGGGATAATTCTGTCCAATGTGCATGAAATAACTTACAGATCTGCTAAGAAATAGGGAAAAAGTACCTGGTCAAAAGGCTCTGTTCCTGGACTGTGAGGTAGGATACTGGCTTGTTGTTAGTCATCAGACGAACAAAAGCTTCACAAGGCAAGTTCTTTGGTTTCACGCAATAGAAGGCTTCTTGGTCTTGTTCATCTCCATATTCACAAAGTTCTGAGTTTGTGGATATGCGGAAACCACATTCAGTGGAAACATCTGAAGTTCCATTCAAAAATCTGCCTACGAATGCTATTTTGTCATAGCCTTTCTTTCTTGCAGCCCACAGGGCAGAAACCGCTTCACTGGGATGTATGAGTAAGACAGAAACTCTGACTTTACCCTCCCAAAATAAGGTGAAATTCACCAGGTAGGTTCCATTCCTGTAGTCCTTGATGTGTCCAGAAGCTCCAGCCTTGAGATTTTGTGAGAAGATCCTTGCTCTTAAGAAGTCTCCACCATACTCCTTCTTCTTCCCCAAGTAGTCGTACAAATCCAGCTGAACCAGCAAGTGCTCCCCCACACAGTAGGAGTCCTTTCGGTTCAACAGAGTGGCCTTGCTGTTCTTGGCACTTGTAGTGGATTTTATATCAGTAAAAGTAACACTGGGCATCTGCTGGTCTAATCTGGCAAGGATGTTATTTACTTCCTCCTCCTTTTTCTTCTGCACATTAGTCCTGCATGGATCTGTCTGGCCTTTCTCACAAAATCTGTCTTCCATTAACTTAAGGCAGAAGTCTTGATCATAAGCTTTTCCTGACTGTCTGGTGGAACTTCCCTGGGGGCCACTGAGGGCAATAGTCTTGAAAATACAACAAGAAAAGAGAAATGAGAAAAGCAAGCCACACAGATCTCCCCAAATCAGGCAAGTATAGCAATCCTCTTGCCACAGAATGCTCAGTCGCCAGGAACCTGTTGGGCTCCCACCCACAGAATGGAAGCGAAGAAGAAAGAGAGCTGCTGCTCTGTTTCCTGTCCCTGGAGAGAATAAAGAGATGTTGTAAATCTACGCCAAGGTTAGGATAGTTTTGATGCGGTGGGGGGAATTTAAACCCAGCAGATTCATTTGCCATTATGGTCCTTGACTAATCCCAACTTTTTCTCTTCAGCATCAGGTCTCAAATCCATAGTTCTTTATTAGGATTAACAAAAGTGGTACAAAAATTGTGGAAGCTGACAAGTTCTCCAGAACTCTTCATCAAGTAAGATCTTGTAAAAAGCTGAGGATTTCCAACCTCCCAAGGCTGGAGGCCAACAGGAAGAGGCTGAGAGCTTCTTCTCCAACTTTGGAAAGGAAAATGCAAACAATTTAAGAGTAAGCTAAACTACCCTTTTCCCATGGATTGTAGCCTTGTACAAAACAGAGGGTAATTTATTGTTTACTACACAAGTCCTACCAAAAAAGGAAATATTTTCCTTTTATCTATATTTGTCCTTTTCCAAGGCAATGTTCTTGCGTAAGAGAAGAGGCATAATTTTTCTGGTGTGTTAAATCTCAACAACAAACTCCACTGTCTAGGATTTGCCTTGTGGATTCAGTCTTGACTCAACTAGTAAGCATTCTACGTTTTCAAATCACTGGATCGTTTATCAAATATCTTTACCCTAAATCATTATTTTCATCTCAACTTGCCTTATAGCAGTTCTGGATTTTTAGAGGACCAATTTTTCCATCCAGAATGTCCATGCAGGAACTCTGTCCATCATTTCTCATCAAAAATGGTAAATTTTGTCTCAGTTAAATGAATGTCCTTCTTGAATATGACTGCCACCCCAACCCTTTGTCTTTCCTGGTTGGAGGCATCCAACCTCTGCAGGAGCTACCCTATTTTTTGGACCTACAGGTTGGAGAACATCGACCTCTTTAGCTGATTTTTACACTTATGGATTCTAGTACCACTAAGAATTAATGACAAGGGGAGAATATCCAGGACAAAAGAACACAAATGGGGTCTCCCATGTGAGCACAGCCTCAGCAAATAACCCCTGGGACTAATGTACCACAGATGCCTCGGCAGTGGAAGCAGAAGAATCTTCGATGCTGAGCTGATGCCAACTCAGTCTTTCTTGCTGGGAATTTCTACCTTGCCCTCTAGCTTTAAGCTTTCTATCAGCCTTCCCAACCTGACCCTGTGCTGGTCTTTGGGAGGTGGTTGTTCCAAGTATCTGAAGAGCACCAGGTTGGAGAACCTGTCTTTAAACTACATGGTTCTCTTTGGCTATGGAAACCAGCTCTAACGCAGCAGCTTCCCTTTGATCTTAGGTTGAGCTGAGCTTTTGGGTGCTACATGGCCTTTTAGCCAGGCAATGCTGAAGAACTAGCTGGGGATCCTCTACAGGTGGAGCACTCCCACAGACTGATTGCCCCCTCCCAGCCTTAGACTTGATAGTGCCGGCTTGTCATGCAAACACTGGGCATCAAATACTGTCGTTGTTACTGGCAGCCTCCAAAAAAAGCAGCTTTTCTGAGTTAATTAACTGGAAATGTGTGCCAACAACTAATTGCCATCATGCCATTGCACGCCAAAGATGAAAGTCAGCAGTAGTGAGTCACAAACCCTGTTGATTGTGCCAAGCCTCTAAGATGGAGTATATGAAAACAACCACTAAGAAAAAGAGGCTGCTGGGGGTCAGGAATCCCTTTTTTCTCTCTTCAAATGTCACCCAGCCCAGCCCAGCCCAGCCCAGCCCAGCCCAGCCCACTTCCATGCAGTTGAGACCGGAGGATGGAGCTTCTGGAGCAGTTTATGGCATTTCCAGAAAGGCTGCAACTTTCACCCCTCCCCTTCTGAAGCAGATTAGGATTAATCAACTCCCGTTTTAGAGCAACTGATGGAAAAACGAAAAAGCAGCTTAATCAACAAAAAGTACATCGTTGGAACATGTCTTCTAAATTCTGGTTCTTAAGAACAGGGCAGATGCTGAACAACCAAACTTGCTTATGTTCATGATTAGCCCAAAAGAAGCCAGTGAGTGAACTGGTCCACACGCCTTAAAGGAAAGAGTCCATGAAAAGTGTGGGGCAAAATTGTCCAGTATGGAGCTAGGAGCATAGGGAGTTGCCTCCTCCGAGGTCCACCCAGCTCAATCTTGTCAGCCATGTTTCAGAGGGAAGATGCTGTCAGAAGCTAAAGCAGAGATGCTCTGTTTGCAAAGCAGGTGCTTTATCCCTGACTGTAACTCTTTCTTTAGAAAACTGGATTTCAGAACTGGAAGACAAACCATTGACAATTGAGAGAGGCCTCAACATTTCTCTTTCATCTTAAGCACTTATGGAGTCCAACACGGCCTTCTCCTATAAGCAGACGTTCCAAAGTCTCTAGCAGAAGCAGGCCCTTCCTGGCTACAATATTGGGAAGAAAAATGGGATGTTGCATGCCCTGTGCCACATGTGCCCCTCCCCACCAGTTACAGTCCTCCTTACCTTGAGGAGCATCTCATGCAGAAGGTAGCTGAGGATGAGTAGGCTGGCTAACATCAACATCAGAAATATTCTCCTGATCACAGGGAATGAAAACAGCATTATGGCCAAACAGTAACAACAACAATGTACAGGCAGGACCAAGAAGCCTGGATTTCTATATGAGTCACTTTTTTGTACTTGGAGGAGCGAAGGAAATGGTGGAAGTGCTGGCGAAAGGGCTGTGCAGAAGCCGTGCAGAGAAAAGGGCTGTCCTCTAAGAGGACATTACGTCACTGGTGGTGTGGCTTTGCTCAAAGGAATCATCAGCTGCTTCTGTTGCTAAAAGCACACTTGGCAACAAGCGAGAGGTCCTTGGCCAGAAGCGGTGGCTGCCCACGGGAGAAGGAGGGGATGGAGGTAGGCTTTGCGCAAGGGATGGAGGGAGTTTGAGCACCATCTTCCAAAGCGCTCTGTGGAGCTGGCAGTCAGGCAGGCTTCCTCGCAGCTGCCCCCAAGGGCGGAGAAGCCCAACTTTTCTCCCACTTGCTTTCTTCCACTGCCGTTCTTCCAGTCTTCTGGCTGATTCAGATTGAACCTTCCTTTTGTTCCTTCAAGTATTGGAAGTACTGGCTAATACAGAAACAAAACTGTACTTTTTCTTGACAGAAAATGCTTCCTGGGCCTGCTCCCATCTGCTGCCAGATTTCGTTTCAGGACCAGCCCCACAGCTGTTTGCCTTCCAGCTCCACACCACAAGCTTTTTCTCATAGAAATGGCAAATTTGGGATTATTTTTAAAAGATTCATTCTGATAGCTGAATCCAGCAATGTGTAAAACATGGTACATTCGGGAGGGTTAATATTTTGCTCTTCAGCCTTGGAGCTTTCCCCTTCTTTAACCCTTTTGTGGGACTTCCACAAAAGGATTCATGGCGAATGAGATGTCTCTGAAGGAGCGGAGACGGCATTGTGGTGAGATCAGTGGCCAGATGGTAAATTCTGGCCAGTGAAATCTTTCCAGAAAAAGGAGAGATTGTGAAATCGCCCACATGTACTCTGGACAGTTGCTTCTCATGAGTAAACTGCAGGAACTGAGGCTTTTGTGATCAACTTGTGAGTTAATCGGATTCTGATTAAGCTCACAGCTGTGATGCAGCCTATATGGCCATGAGGTTTGCCGAGCCTTGTTTCTTAATCACTTTGGGAAATGTGCTTGCTAACTGCTTTTTAGCTATTAGGAACCTTCACAACCACAAGTTTTAGAGCACTGGGTGAGTTTCTTTCAATTCTTAGTGAAAGAAGTTTTAAATACAAAAAATTTTTTTTGTTTGGAATAAACAGCAAAAGGGTGATTAGAACATTAATTTTGGAAACTTACAAACAGACTAAGGGTCCAGATGGATTTGAAATCAGGTTTTGAAATTAATTATAAGATTCCTTCCTGTGGGAAAATGCTGTTGTTTTGAATTCTTACCAAAAAACAACAACAACATGATAGATGGGACTTTGAAGGTTGGACACTAGAGGGAACCAGAAGGAACTAAAGATTGCAATTAAAGGAGAAGAATATTTAATTTGATTTACTAACATAGAATGAAGCAAAATACTTTAACATTGGATGTACTGAATGTAAGGTTTGCCCCGTTCGACAGAGAAACTCCCGTGACACGTGTGGTTCACAAAAGA